GATTTCTCTACCACCACCACACACTAGTGCGATTTTACCCAACCGGCCAAATCCTACCCGTCGCCGCCTCTTGATTCGATCATCATCGAGCCCACATGACCAAACGACCGAGAAGACGACGACGAAGCGAGTGGTGCTTGTGAGGCATGGGCAGAGCACGTGGAATGAAGAAGGTAGGATTCAAGGGAGCTCCGATTTCTCCGTCTTGACGAAGAAAGGCGAGTCTCAGGCCGATATTTCTCGCCAGATGCTCATCAACGACTCCTTCGATGTCTGCTTCACCAGGTCCTGCATTTTCCTTAGAGAATCGATTTTGAGGATTTGGATTTTAGATCGAGTTGAGTATACGAATAGTGGAAGATTGCGATGATTCAATTTGATTATAGGTTTAGTATTCACTGCCCTTGTGTGTGATGGTCCAATTTCCACTAAGCTTGTTTATGAAATGGAGGTTTTCGTTTCGATTGTTGAAGCCTTTTTTGTAACTTGGTTACATTTGTTTCAGTCCATTGAAGAGATCAAAGAGAACAGCTGAAATCATATGGGGAAGTCGAGAGAGTGAGATGATCTTCGACTACGATCTTAGAGAAATCGATTTATACTCTTTTCAAGTAAGTCTAGATATGATGGGAACTTATAGATTTGATAGACCAGACATTACTTTTTTTCTTAACTTTTGTTCTAGTTGATGGTTATACTAGGGTCTAATTAAGAAAGAGGGGAAGGAAAAGTTCGGTGAAGCCTTTAGGCAATGGCAAGAAGATCCGGCAAACTTCAATATCGATGGACACTATCCAGTAAGAGAGTTGTGGTCACGAGCTAGAAATTGTTGGACCGGTATTCTTGCTCATGAGAGCAAGTCTGTTCTTGTTGTTGCTCATAATGCTATTAATCAAGCTCTTGTGGCAACAGCAATTGGTACTTATTTTCTTCTTTTAGCAACACCGATTTTTCATTTCTCTGTTTAATTTACTGTCTGTGATCTTTGGTTATATCAATAACAGGTCTCGGAACAGAATATTTTAGGCGTTTGTTGCAGAGCAATTGCGGTGTAAGCGTACTGGACTTCACACCAAGGGCTGACGGTGGATCTCCTCACGTATGTCTTAATCGACTAAATCAGGTAAAATGTGATAGGCAAGCTAACTTTTTTTTTCCGATGAAACACTAAAGTGCTTCTTTAATTAAAAAACATATATTTGGCTTTGACATTGACTCGTAACCATCTCTGTTGCAAGATTCTCGAGTTGGGCTTAAAATGTAATAGGTAGTCAAAATTCTGCTTACTGTCTTTGTAGTACAAATGCAGACACCTAATTCGCCTCTAGCTGGTGGAGGTTCTAGTGGCCGGAAAGCTAGTAAGCAGATCATACTTGTCTGCCATGGCCAGGGGGATAATGAGGTATAGTTGTATGAGTTCTTATCTCTTAATTCATCTTTATTTGCCAGAATTAACCTCCACGGATGCGCGTTGAAATCGTTTTGCTCTTTACACTAATTTCTGAGCTCAGCAAAAGTTGGAGGCTTTGAATCAAATTTTACCGCATTTTCTTCATTTTATTATCACCTGCCTTTTGAGTTTTTCCATTCTCTTATTAATCAGTCTTCTGCAGTTATTAACCAAACAGTCACTTTAATCACAGGCTGCTAATGGTCAGCCAATGAACATGCTTGGGGTGATACAGGTAACAGACACATGACTTTGTGAAGGACAATTGTAGAAAGGTTCTTAAGCCTGCATTTAGTTACTCTTTGATCATATCTTACTGTTGATTACTGCAGTCACAGAAAACCGCGGAGTTTCTTCTTGATCTAAGGGTTAGTTCAATAGTTTGCAGCCCTACAACAGCCTCCATTGAGACTGCTGGAGTAATATCTCGGGTAAGTTATAGAACCCTCTTATCTACCTAACTTCAATTCCTTAACAAACTGAAGACTTTGAGAAATTTATTTTGTCTGAATCTTGTTCTTTTTAACAGTTTAAAGTGTTAATAGGTGCAAGAAGCTGCGGGTTGTTTGGGTGTAGATTGTGTGCCTCGTTATGTGAAAACGAAACAAATGAAGGAGCTTGATGTCGAGGACGTTCATCACAAATCCAATAAGGCAAGATTATTTATCCTGATGCGATCGTAAAATGAACACTTGTTTGGTCTTTTTGATCCCCAAATTTTGCAGGATGAAGCTGTGATTTCATCGATTCAACCTGGTTGGTTAAACCAGTTAGACAAAGAAGCGGTTTCAGCTCTATGGAACAGATCCGGGAAAGCCTGGGAATCACTCTTAATGGAACTATCAGACGAGGAGTCAAAACCAGGAAATATCATGGTGGTGGTTGGTTCTCCAGTGGCTCACATATCCCTCATAGCACAATGCCTTAAACTCACTAAGGAATGGCTCGGGTTGTTCCACCTAGACGCAGGTAGCATAAGCGTCATAGATTTTCCGGATAGTCCTCACGAAAAAGGAGTTATCCTTTGCACAAACTACACGGCTCATCTAGGAAGATGGTCTGTCCGCATCACAAGACCCACCTGAAGAAGAATTTTAAACCAAATCACTTGAGGTATAATCACAATCTTTGTGTCTTCCCAATTTTAGTCACATTTTACTTAAATACATCATCCAAAAGCTCAACAAGACATCATTAATAGATTTTAAGAAAATCAAAATCCAAGCCTAATCTCTCTAGGAATGCTAGTCTCTGTCTGATCATAGTAAACCAACCTAAAAATCTTTTTAATCGACAAATACGATTTGACACTTGCGAGATGGCCTCGGCAATGCAAGCAGATCCCTTAAGACTCCCACATTTTGTCCTCGCCCGGAACGGTCGATATGCAAAACAAGTTTCTTGAGAAGTGCTGAGTTTTGTACAAAGTACTTTGCTACTGCAGTTTCAACAGACCTTACTCCCGTGACTCTGCTTTTTATCTCTACAAACTCCAGAGATGACAACAAGCACTGTGTCACGGAGGAGAACCTTATTGAACTCATCAACTTATAAAGATAAGTTAAATCCTACAAAATACATAAGATTTATGAATAATAAAACAACACTTTTCTTTAAATGCGTCATTAAGTTAAAAACTCTAGGTTAGTCGAAAAAAAACTCTAGGTTAGTGCAAATTATTACCAAAACGATGGATTTTAGATTCGGACAACTCTCAAGAAATGTTGGCAGTCTGTTCGATTCATATGCACAAAATGTTGCTTCCAAACTGGACAGGTTGCAAAACTGGGGCAATGGTTCTACTTCCATGTAGGAACAGAAGAACTGCTTACATAAAAGAGAAGATATGGGTGAGCAAATTTTCGAGAGAGGGCTGTATATACATATATATATAGGAATTTCAGAGACACATACCAATAAAGCCTCATGAGAGATAATCATATCCCTAACTCTCGAGATACTTGTGAGAAAATTACGGGACATTTAGTTCTTTGATAAGCCAACTCCTTCAGAAGGATCTTGAAAAGTAAAGAAACCCGCAATATTGACTTTAGCTAAAGAACCCAAATTGCATATGGTTACGCTCTCTGATCGTTCATACTTGAAATTCAAATACTTGAGTCTAGGGGCATCAATCAAAAGCCCCCTAGTTTCACCATCAAAACCTATATCATTCACACCAAAGCCTCTTATTACCACACTGAGATTGATTAGTGTCTGAGAACGGACTCGTAAAACCTCTACATTATCACCTACTCTTCTAACAATGCTCACGTCTTCAAGAACAGGGCAAGACGAGATAAGAGACTCCAGACCCACCTCATTGGCAGAGTTATTGTCTTTTAAACGCATGGTCTTGAGACAAGGTAAAGAAACATACTCAAAATTACGCAACAATACCCGATGGAGTCTTAGATATACTAGTGTGTCACATATATAAAGGCTTAAAGGGCATCATCTCCAAATACTCAAGCTCCACAGGCCCACACTTAACATCAAGATGCTTGAGTTTAAGAGTAGCCACAAAGTCTATCCAACGCGTGAGACAAGACTCATCATTCTCATCCTTATGAATACTTAGCTTGAGCTCGTGCAAGCAAGACTTCTCTTCCTTAGAGAAATCTAGGAACCTGTTCATAAAACTCACAAAGGAACTGTAATCTGGGAACTCTTTAGAGTTCAAATCCAACTCTGGAATCGAAAACCAAACACGTTTCCACCTATTGGACAAAAGACAAGTCTTAACAGCTTCCTTTGTCGGAAGATACAAGAGTATCTGAGTTATCAAAGCGTCGGGTAAATTGCTTATCATATCCTCTCTTCCATTTGAGAAACCTGCATGCCCTTTGACGCATCTTCTTTTAGCTTTTCTTTCCCTCATTATATCAAAACGCAAAATCGAAACGAAGATTCGGCAGAGCAATCTCCAAATCTAAGTGTGAGGACGAAGGGATTTCAGAAACAAAACATGAGAATCTCGATTTAGTGGAACTCGAGTGAAACAAATCCCCCTTATGGATTTAGGGTTTTGTGCGTTGGAAGATCCGACGGCGGTCAGAGACGGAGTCGAAGAGTCGCGTGGAAAGCAAGCAATAAGAGAGTTTTAGGGTTAAAGTCACTATCTGATATCGCTGTCTTTAATTTCTCTATTTTTATTAAGGCCGAATGGCCCATTAAAGTCTTCTTATTAGACACCTTCCCCAAAGCAATATAGGATTTGAGTACAACAATTTATACCGGCCAAAAATGTATTCTTCGTTGTATTCAGGAAAAAAAAACTTTGGTAATTTCTGGAAAATAAACTTTTAACTTTATTTTTTGGGAAAGAACTAGTGATAGTA